GTTTGTTTTCAGTGTTCTCGTCTTTGCTACCCAGGTCATTGCAGCTTATCCCCACAGTGACCTGGGACATGGGGACTTCAGGTGTCGATGGACACGGCACGCAAAGTAAACACGGACCGTGACACCTCATTCCAGGCCCCACAGAGACCCGAGGGACCAAACGACTCCACGGAACGGGCTTTCCAGCCATACAGATGTTTGGTGATAAATCTCGGGGGGGGGGGTTTGGGGGGGCTATTGTTTTAATTAATGGTGGTATATCGGGGATTCCCAACAGAAATATTGTGCTTTAGGTCACGGAATTAATTCATAGGTCAAACATACTATCAGGGCCATCAGCAGGCAACTCAACCCTAACTCACTTGCACCGAGTTGATGCCAATTCGCGGAGACCCGAGAGGACAGGTGAGAACTGCGCTGTGGGTTTCTGAGCCTGCAACGCTTCCCAGGAGTAGAAAAGCCTCATCTTTCCCCCTTGGAGAGGCTGGGGGTTTCCAACTGCTGACCTGTCGGTGTAGCCCACCACCCCAGCAGACAGACATTCATCCCTAGCTAGAGCCGGAGACGAGATGTCTTCCCGCGTTCTTTCTCTGTCTTGCTTGTGCTGAGAACACAGCCCAGAGCCGCGGTAAACGCCCCATCAAGCAGGATACAATCTACGATTCTCCCGCCCTGAATATTCCCCTTCTGGCAGATGCTCAGCTGAATGAACTTCCCGAAGCGGCTGGAGTTGCTGTTGTACACGGTCTTGGCGTTGCCGAAGGCTTCCATGATGGGGCTGAGAGAGAGACAGAGAGACAGAGAGGTGAGATGGCAGACTTATCAGCAGGGTGCGGGGCCAGGAAGAGGCTCTCTCCAAACCCAAACCAAACTCACTCCCATCCGGTCCATTCTGACCCACAGCGACCCCGTAAGCAGAACTGCCCCCGGGGGCTTCCCAGACAGTAGCTCTTCCGGGGAGCAGGGAGCCACATTTTTCTTCTGCAGAGGCTCTCATGGACGGCCAGATCCGCCGAATGAGCAATCTGAAACCAGGGAGGGCCTGTCGGGGCCAGGCTGATTTCCAGAAGCGACGGGATTTCAAAGCGCATGCTGAAATAGGTCTTTGGTACAGTATGGATCAGGCTGTGATGTGTGAAGGAAGGTGCCCAGGGCGGTTCACCCCTGCCTGTGCTGGGAGAGCGTAGGTTTCCACAGAAAAAGGCCCCGCTCACTCGTACTCTAACCACTAGCAAAGGTCTGCTTCTAGACCTTCCATCTATCCATCGCCTGTCTCTGGGCCAAGCAAGGTCAATTCTGC